CATAAAGATATTAAGTGGTTTCGTAATATTCATATTACAATATCATATGTCCTATATATTATACACAGCGTATACTACGTTATATTCTAAATATAACAATATGTTAGATATGTAATATTATGCTAGATCTTCAGCGTATTACCTATATTATTATTGTGGCCGACGACAACAGTATAATTGGGTGTGATTCGAATTGGGCGAATGGAAAGACAAAAGCACCCGAGTAGAGGACTCTCTCGTTTTAAATTGTAGATAACCGTGTTGTACTACCTTATATAATAGTATTATATTTTAATATCGTAATTCGATTGAGATACGCGTAGATGTAACACAAATTGTATACCTACCTATAACGAAAATAGTGAAATGTGACTATATACACATAAAACCGGTATATATTTTACGATGTAAACTCACTGCAATATATACCTGTGTAATACACTAAATTACGGATTATCGTAAAATGCCGAAACAGTGAAAAATGACGATCGTCTTATATTCCACGATTCAGATAGATTTTACGCGCATATTGTCTACTCACACAAATAACAATATTTTCTCAGTTTCTATTACCTACAACCACTATAATGTAATTTCACGAAATTAACATTGTTCGGTAGATAACAATAATATGTAGTACTGTAATGTGAGCATTACGATATCTATAAAGTCCAATAAAACAGCACATCATATTATTTCGATTTCAACTTTTTGTTGCGTATATAGTAGAACAAAAATGTATAATAGCACACACATCTACCCAGTGCTACATAACGTGTTGGATGATGGGTTATTGATATTACATTTCAGACTGGTTGGATTAGACTTTTTATGTGATTTAAACTCAGCGACGTTGAATTAGCTATAGTTACTGGGAGAAGCTTATAAATACAATTTTCTAAAATATAAGAAATTTAAATCATAAGAGATAAATTTTCGGATTCAGATATTATTAAAAATTGCTTAGAAAATCACATTTTAAATTACATAAAGCCCGGGGCTGAAATTACAAAACTAATGTTTATTTATCAACTTTCAATAAACAGAGCTCGACTCCTTTGATATTCAATACCAAACCTATCAGATCTGACTTCAATGGTATCCACATCAATTTAATTGGAAATTTCAACGTCAGACACGGTTGAATCCAATTAGTATATTGTCACAAAATAGGTTTTTTTTATGTACACAGTATCCATAATCAAACATATTTATATATAAAAATAGTTACTTTTTCGCCGTCTTTAGATGTAATTATTAATTACACTTAGGTAATGCAATAATTTAATATACGATTTTATTTGAACGAGTTTGTGTTACAGGAAATCTGTTACATTAACACAAAATATGTTTATGGAAAAAAAAAATACATAATTTATTATAGTATTTTAAATTATTTTTAATTGAATATTTTAATGATAAAATCATTATGATTTCATTTTCATTTCAAATCATATTTCAATGTATTAATTTAACTCGGTTTTTTCATTTTTAATATTGAAAATACTATTTAAAACGTATAAAAGTTTTTGAATTTTTCAAGTGTCTAAATGTGTCAATGTAAAGGTATAAAATTAAATTTATTGAATTGCTTTGTATGGTACAGAATTCATATGTTATTGTATTTTTTAATATGGTAGTGATTTAAATCGTGTGCGCAATTATTATCGTCAGTTTTATTAATAAGCATCAATCGGTGATAAAAAAAAATATTATATTATGTATATTTTTTATACGTGAGCTGTTATTTATTGACGTTCAATATTGTAATTACTAGTTTGAATTAAAACGTTTCAGTCGTTTCAATTAAATGTTGTTCACGTGCTTTTTTTGTAAGTACCTATTTTCTTTTTTTTTTTTATTGCGTGAATTAAAAAAAGTCTCGAAGCATATCCAGTTTGACAGGTGTATTCAACAGCTATTTCAATACACAGTTTCGTAAAACTAATTTCCACAAGTTTTTTTTTTTGTCCAATTTTCAATTTGGTAATTTGATTCCGATAAAAGCAGTCATTATACATATTATATAATTTGATCAAACATCAATACATACCAACAAAGAAGTACCAGAAGAAGTACCAAGAGGTACCATATTAATACATTTCACAACTTCCAATTGCCATGTGACATATTATTAGGTACTAGGTAGTGATAACTAATTACCAATTTTAATCAATAGGAAGTCTCTCTAATAATGCTCAAAGATTTTATTATTTTATTCAAATGAAAAAAAATATTTTACCAACATTTTAAGACATGAAGTATTTTATTCAAGTTACAAGTTTAAATAATTAAACTATACGATATTCAGGTATAGACGTATACTATCTAATTTTTTTCATAACTTTTACATTTTATCCAATATATTATTAGAATATTAATTTCTATTTTTAATTATTCAACAACAAATATAACTTGTGTGAAGTTAGCTTAAAACAATTATCCAATTAACATGAAATAATCTGTTACTTAGTTTTTTACTTGTGTCTATTGTGTATTTGAGTCAAGTGCTTTATTTTTCAAAAATAATTAAATATGTCCTTTATTCTCCCACATCCAAAAAAATTAAAAGACCAAAACAATTTGTATCCCATTTCTTTAATTAATTTTAAATTTGTGATGAGTTTTAAAATGTGTTACCTACTTAGGTTTTTGACTTTGGTAGGTATCAAATAAAAAAAAATTCAAGGTTAGCCTACCAAAATTATGTGGTTCATAATTATAGATTTATAGTTATAATTAAAATCTATAAAAATGTGACTCAAATATTTTAAACCACTGTTAATGTCTAAAAAATTAACATTAATGAAAAAGAAAAACATTTAGGTAGTTATAAAATCTGCAATGTGTCTATAGAATAATAGAATATAAAACGTATCAATTATATTTACAAGCAATATAAGTTATAACTACCTATTAAGACAATAACACAATATTTACACAGAGCATTTATAAATACACATTGAAATTTATAAACTTATGATTATATAGTAATTTTATTGATTTAAATCGGAGTTAATCCCCTCAGAGCTAAATAGTTAATAAATCTTATAATAATTGTATGTATAATATTTTACCTACTGTAATGTAAAACAAATGTAAATTAAAAATTAAAATATATTTTATAATATAATAACAAATGAATATTGTAAACAAAAACTCAGTTGACAAAATAATGGACATTTGTAAAATATTGTTTGAAAGTAAATTCAATGGTAAATATACCACCAAAATGTTGGTAAATGATCCGATAAAAAGGACTAAACGACTATGTTATAAATTATAAGTTAGTCATCTGTTTAACGTTAATACCGATGCTAAAAAAATAAGAAGCCATTTCATATTGTTTATTTTCAATACACGAAAAAAGACACCCACAAAATAATGTAAAATAAAACTTCAATATAACTTCAATATATTATAAGTATCATAATACTTTTATAATCAACAATAGTTTGGTAATTTAAGATAAAAGTTAATATTTTTTTTACGATATAGATACATGATACCTGTCTATATTTAATACAAAATTACCTTTAATAATATGATAATGAACCAGATAACTTTTTTTCAAAACATTTTTCTTATATTTCTTTTGACGTCATTGTAAAACAACATTTTTGAATGAAAATTTTTCGAGTTTCAACATAATAAACAATATACACAAGACACAGGCAAGAAGCAGGATTATTTTACTGAGTATTTCAGGAAAATCGAATTTCGAACGAGTAGGTAGTTAACATTACTTGCATTCTCTCCTTTACTACCCGAGGGTCGAGTTCCGTTTTAATACTGCACCGTATTAATACAAAATGCTATTTCAAACGTATCTTGTTGAAAAATTACTATAGATTTCTCATAAGAATAAACTATCATTGTGTGTTATTCTGGGAGAAAATGTCACTAGCAGGAAATTGCATACCCGTCTACACCTATTCCGGTAATGCACGTGATTTTGACGTTAACATATAAGGACCCACGTCCATTTCACATGGCCAACAGGGCTACAACACGAACACGTTTACGCACATAATAATATAGTAATATGTCACGTAACCTTTGGCCATGTATACATATTACCTATTTACCACTATGCCCGAATATTTGTTGCCATGTCGTCGATAATTTATACTTGTAAGCATGTAAGGTATCTATTATAATATTATACTCGTTTATTTTACGCGTCTGGATCTATTGTTATTATTATTGTTATTATTATTTTTTTCGGTATTCAGTGGCCTAGTTTCAGAACATGTGGGACAAAATGATAACCGTAAAAAAATAATCAAATTACTCCTAATTTTTTGCCTCTGTTTTAAGGAGTTAAACTACTCCTCCTACGCTTCCTAAAAATATATAACCATTATATAATAAATAATAACATAATAGAATATTCAAACACTCTATAAATCGGTAACTACTAGTAACATTTAAAAATGATAGGTACCTACCTATTATAATAGCAATGGATAATTTGTGTAATTAATATAATAATATTATATTAATAAATCGTGACTCAAGTCTGAGATTAACCTTCGACCATGTTGCTAGTTACCGGATGGGTGATCACTAGAGTTTTTAGAGACAATCTTATATACAATCTCACATACAATTGTTCCGAATCAATCGTAACCTTACAGTAATAACAGGTTAATAACCATGCAGTTGATGCCGTATAATTAAAAAATAAATAAACAACAATTATGTTTTTTTTCTTTTTTTACATGTATATTAATCATACCCCGATAGTCATTTTTAACAGATCTCACTAAAAAACTGCCTCGCCAGGCGGTCGATTCAAAAATTATACTTGTCGAATTTCCCCTTTTCCCTCTATAAATGACTCAACTTTTGGAATTGTACTAAACTTGGGCGTAGTGTTTGTGTGAACACTAGCTTGCATAATATATGGACACGCATGTACAATAATATGTAATAATAATACGCTGCGTTATATAATAATATGCGTAATATGTTTTATCTACCCGTTTCCCGAAATAATGAGAGACAACAGCGGCGGAGGACGTAATGATGTGATCGTCATTTGTGAGGGAGAGGTGTGCGACGTTGAGAAAGGTCTGCGGCTATATTTCCCATAGGAAATCTTCGGCTCATAAGTTTTATGTACAATGTAGAAAAATCGCGCATATGAAATCATCATGTAGAGTCGCATATGAAACAGACCGGAAATCAAAATATAGTAGATTATGATACTCTAGGACAGCTCGTGACACCACGGCTGTCGTTGTTGATCTCATATACGCAGTCATACCGTGCATCCCACCCACTTGTAGATCACAAGATCTAGTCGAATATAATTTTTCGAATGTAAACGTGTATAATATTTTAAACATTTATACCGCACGTCATTTCCAAAAAAAAAACTGTGCTGTAAGTTTGATCGCACTGTAGTTGTCAAGTGTCAACTTTTCAAATATTGTGACTTGCTGGTATTTTTTTTTATATACTATTTTATAAACATACTTTCTATAAATTTTACTTTACTCATATTTTTAAATCGACAATATTGTTTAACACCTCACACCATTGATTACTTATGTTAATTTACTTAATAATGTACATGCATAGAATGTATCAAACATCTTTTATGCATTAAGTAATTAACAATAGTAACGAACATTCAGATTTATTAAACTCATTCAACGAATGTAAAGTACCTTGAAAATACCATAAACACTCCTATTTAAAAATGTATCATAAGCAAAGGTTATATTCTATAAATTTGAAAAAAAAAGTAAAACATCCTTTTAAAAACAATACCTATTATATAATGGTATCTACGTATATCAACCTCATGGTTTGTATAATATTAATAGTTAGACAGTTGATTTAATTTTATCAATGTTTAATACCTATACATATTAAGATAAAATGTATATAAGTATAATATTTACTCAAGAGTAACTTACTATCGACCAAATGTCGTTATATATTTATATCAATAACCTATTCATATAATATATTCTTTCTTAATATTTATTTTATAAAGAGGAGGCTACACGGACCTTTGTTGTCTCCGTCTTACAAGTACGTAACATAGAAAATTCTACACATAGCAGATCACTTTTAGCTCTGTTACTTTAAAAATTAGAGTGAATAGACCCCTGATAAAAGTTAAAGGTAAGATCTAGGGCATCTCATACGCTTTTTATTATATTTTATTTTAAAGCGATCTATGATTATTTTAAAACTGAAAATTATTCGTATCTTAAAATACAGATAACTTACTTTAACATTTAAATATAACAAGAAGCTTATGAAATTCCCTAGATAATAGTCTTACCTTTAAATTTTATAAAATGTCAATTCACTCTAAGGTAATTTTAAAATTTACGGAGCTAAACGTGATTTACTGAGCGTAAAATTTGCCATGTTACGCACTTGTAAGACGGAGACAACAAATATCTGTCTAGCGTCCTCTAAATATGAAAAATATTAAAACCATAAATTGGTATACGTCTTATTATATCGAAACATAAATAATAATTGGAAAAATAAAATAGAATAATAAATTTAAAAACAGTAAAAGTACCTAACAACAGTGTTGTATCTAGTAGTAGTTGAAAGGATTGCATTTATTACTATCCATTATAAATTTACAAATCATTATTTTTTAAATTTTTATTTTATAATAATTTTCTAATTTATTACAATAGTTGTTGGTTAGGTAACTGAAAGTAATCTCTCAAATAAATCCTTTGACCCTAATCGTTTTATTTAGCTAAAAAAAAACACGATTTCTAATTTAAAAGTTAATTATTTTCATGAAAATTTGAATAATCAAATTTGAATATCTGAGATTTATTTCATAATAATAAATTAAATTGTTTACTCCTCTCAGTTAAGTACCTATACTTAATATGTATACAATACAAGCACCATACCTAATTTATATTTGTATGTAGGGAATAATACAAATAACAACATAATAATGATGGTATTTAAACAAAACCAAATTAAAAGTAAACATAGACATAACCAAATTTACCTATGCAACTAAAACAAACTTGTGCTGTATATACATATCCAAGTATTTTATTCATATTTATTTTATTTGTAGTTTTTGTAGGTACATCTCATATAGTACTGACATTGTAATAAAACCAAAAAAAATCATGAATATTTTTAAAAAAACATTGGACGTCAAACATCTTACAACTAATGGTACCTATACAAATATATAAATGTGGCTTGGCACATTTTCTGCTATCAGTCACGTGACGTGACTGAGAGTAAGTAAGGGCCGCTGCCACTAGTTCCCGGATGGGTGACCATCCGGGAAAGAAGTGCGCAAAAACCTTACCACACATACTCGTGTTTCCACTGTACCTACCAACCGTTCCAACGTTACAAGCTAATGAACACTGTCGTAGAAGCATTAATCCAGCACCACTTCATAATATGTGATTTTGGATGATGCTTTCTTAGTGCATACTTACATGGCGGTACGAAGGTACCATGCAAATTTCAAGCCTCAAGCTAACATTATATTTTAGGGTCTACGTTGGTCAGCGAGTCAGTCAAGACACGTTCGATTATATTATATTTATCAATGTTATGTTTAGGTATACCTACCTACTACCTAGGTATCTATAGTTGGACATTTATGATATTTAAATACTAATAAGTATCATTATTTTTGGGTGTTTTTCCATTTTCATTCGTTGTATGAATACAATTACATACTTTTAATAAATAATTGTATACGTTAATCAAACCAAATTACAACTTATTGCAGATATTTCGTATAGAACACAATTGGTATTTATTTATATACATTATGCACGTATGTAAATAATACTAATACAACTCTAATTTCAAAGTAAACATTTAATATCAACGAGTTTTGAATAAAAATTACATCTATAAAATACTTATATTTTTTACAACACTAGTACCTATAATACATGAATAAAAATAAAGACAATTATATATCACGGAAACAGGAACAATTTAGTGTTATTTGACGGCAAATTAATTAAAACAACTGAAAACATTGACAAACCATCAATTTTGTCTAATGCGAATTTCTAATACCAAATAAAATATACACGAATTAATAGGTAAATACGTATAATAGATCATTCACAATAAATGTACGACATTGTACGTCTTATTTCACATCAGCCCTGGGCCTAAAAAAACACTGCAGCCATAGTGTAGCCCTTCGTCTACAAAACCGACTAAAAACAATGATCCGTATCAGCCAATTAATTTCCAGCCCCAAATTCCAAATAACCTCCGAGACTACTCGAATCACTTAATTGAACAATTATTCTTCACATTTAGTAGATTTATTATCAAATTAAGAAGAATAATTCTGATTAATTTAAGAGTAAATCATCTGAAATTGAAGAATCGTTCAATAAAATAATATTACAATAGGTACGCTTGACATGTTTCATCCCAAATGAATTCCAAACATTTTAAATATTCAAGCCAAAATTATAGGATTTGGGGAACGAAATTTGAAAAAGTAGCCTTATCGATTTCATGTAGACATAATAATAAATCCAAATCAGTTTTCAAAAGTGTAATCGTATTACTAAAAATAATCCACTTGACAAAGTTTCATCACCCATCTTAATAATAATCTAATAATCTTTTAGTTTGGTTTGCTGTCAAAAAGAATATATCAAAGATTTTTCGTCATAGCAATCTAATTACAACGCATTTCATTTCCCATACTCCATTAAGTTTTGAAATTATAAAAATATACAGACGAGAAATTACAAGGTTATAACTTATAAGTACCTTTATGGCTTTATGTGTACGTTCCCTATAGTTATGCAAGCTTATCTGTAACATGCAGTTCTTTAAAGGTAAGTGACAAACAATTTCCCGGTAATTAGACTTGAATCTATGTTGCACTTTTGAGCCATTAAATACCATCTCTAATTCTTCAGTTGCTAGACAATAATTGCGGATTAATGCTTTGGCTACCTATTTATAGTGTTGGGGAGTAACTTAAGTTACAAGTTACTGTAACGAAATTACTTTTTAAGTAATTTGATGGTAATTTAATTACATTTTATTGTAAGTAATTTATATGTAGTTTAAGTTACTTTTGCCTAGTAATTATTACTAAATTACTCGTTACTTTTTTTGGTTTAATAGGTGCATTTTTAGAACGTATTGATAATATTGGGTGTAAATATTAAAATATATCATATAACTTATATGTATTATAATTTATAGGTAAAGTTGTCTGAACTGTAATATTTTTGTTATAGCTATTGATTATTTGACTATAGATAAAGTGTTACTTTTAGAATGGAATTCTTATCTTTACTCTGTGTTGTGTATCATCGCGGATAGTTCACGGAGTCCGCGTCTGCACATACAGCATTGTTAGAACTATCGATAATAATAAAAAAAGTGTGGTTATAAGCAATACGACTGAGAGTAAGTTACGTCCGCTGCTACTAGTTCCCGGATGGGTGACCACCCAGATCCGTAGTAGAAACAAGTAAAAACCTTCCTACACATGCACGTGTTTGCATACCCACCGTAACAACGACAGTTAATAATTACCTACAACTGCTAACGGCCATAGTTGCCAGGTTTAAATTCAATAAAAAAAAAAATAATAATAATAATAATAATAGTGTACCAAAATGAGGATCTGTTAATAATTTCATATTGTTGATTGTCATTACCTATTTAGTTTATGTATTGTTGTATTGGCAACATGATGATTAAGCTCCAGTGATATTTTTGAAGAAAAAAAGTAACTTCTATTGTAATTGAATTACTTTTTAAACTCAAAAGTAATGTAACTTAACCAAATAACAAAAAGTAACTTAAAAATAATTAAGTTACAATTTTGATAAGGAATTAGTAATGTAATTTAATTACCAAAAATAAGTAACTTCCCCAACACTGCCTATTTATAACAATTTCCATGACATTCCGCAATCCTTCAATACAGTCAATCGATCGAAACGCTGGTTTATTGTTCACGGAATATATTAATATTATTTTAAACCGTCCCCTCCCCTACAAACAAAAAAAACAGCCATAAAGACCGGGCTTCAGCTCAATAAAAAAATTTAAAAAAACAAATATTATTGTAATATATTTTACAGTACATACTTTTCTCAAATGGGACACTATACGGTCTATGGTTATATCGTATGAACACACAATTTTATATTATTAAAATATTATTCATTATGTTTACCGTCCATAGGAGAAGAGCATGGCACTGTGCGACTATAATAATTATTATTGTACAGAGGTGGTCGGGTAAATTTAACGAAACTCTCCCGATAGGAATGTGCACTATAAAATAATAATATATTATAATGTGCACATATTGTGCGGTGCTGCGGATACCGGCCATTAGACGATTAGAATATCTGTCTGCGCGGCGATAGGCCCGAAATGAATTATTGGTCCCCAGCCGAATATGTTATCAGTGCCGCGTATTTAGAATTGTGTTGCCCTCGGTAAGTACACGATATATTTTTATTTACTGCAGCTGCCTCGTAGCTAATAGCCATGAAAATAAAATAGTAATAACTTTTGGACGATTTTTATTGTCAACCTCTTCCCGTTATACTTATTTGTATAGTCTAGGTATGACGGACTCCGTCGATGGCTTACATAATGTTATAATAGTACATCGACATGGTTCGGGGACGTCAATATTGAAGTAAGTCTCATTGTTCTTAGAACGCTTATAATATTATATTAATAAAATAAAATGTTCTCTCAACAATAGTTTTAAATTATTTAAGACTCACAAATATATACCAAACCTATATAGTATATTATTCATAAAACCATAAACATATAGCTAACCTAATACTTTATTTGGCTGATTTAAAAAGTACCCACCAACATAGGGGATTTTTAATGATAAATTAATAACTATAACTTACCATTTGTAGTTAATATCTGAGTAAATATTGCGTGCGATGACAATTAAACAATTTACTTAGAGTCGTCTTGTTCGAGTAAACAACGCGTCGGCTGACGATATTATTTTGATTCGCAGCCGCCGTTAACTATTATGTACCTACTACGTGGTTTGTGGTATTTGTCGTTTGTGGAGTGGACAGGCGCAGTATTGATATGAATGGATTATTAAACGCACATTGTCACGTTTAACATTGCATAAAGGTACTTACACGTCGTCATGTAGTAATTATAGTAGTATATAACATTATATATATAATACTTATCCGATTCATGAGAATATTATTAGGTATGTTAAATTCGACGAAAACAAACAAGTAAACAACATCCAAACGTTCGGATTTTAACGATTGCTCTGAGACTAAGACAGTGAGGCCACGACGTATTTTAACATACTTTAATATTGTTTCATATATTATTAATTGGCAATGCTGGCGTTATCATCTCAGTAAACACAATATTTATACCGCGGTATACTTATTATACTGCAGGTCGTATAAAATTGAATGTATAATATACTTACTGTTATTGACTTATATAGTATTTTATAATAAGCCGTTAATTCGAATTCTCTGACTTCTACTCCTCGTTGATTATACTCTTATTTATTATTCCGGCATGAATGTTTGTAATATTATGGCTGTGTAAGTATATATTTTTTTTTTCATTCACGCATTATGCACTCTTTTAATTTACAACCCGATATAATATTCCTCTCTTCCCGAAAACCCACCGTATATTCAATATATAATATTATATATTGCATGCCTTTAGGTGGGTTTTACTTTACTTAACTTCGTGCAGTGATACCGTATTAGCTCAATTACCGATAAAATAAATTTTCTACATTATCTGTCTTTTATTTTTTCGATAAATTCTGATACTTGCATTATGAATGTGTCTCATAAATTACCTATTTTCAATGGCTGAGTCTCGCATTTCTATGCATTAAGTTCTGATTGTGCAGGTGCTTATAAATTATTTGACCTAAATGTCGAAGTCGAATGACAATTTTTATTTCGATCGCTGCAATCGGTACGACTGAAAAATTGTTATCGAATACGTATATTGTTATGCTAGCATTTTGCGAGGCTGCTTTAAGAACGAAAAAATATTCGCTATTTTCAGTTTGAACGCATTTCTTGGGTATTAAATAAAAAAAATCGATTTCATAATCTACCGATATATTCTATAATAGAAGCTTATAATAATCATTATTATATTAGATTTTTTTCTGTTGAACTATAGCTAAATTACCACACATAAACTATTACCATTCAGGCAACTCCGGGATATAAATATGTACCTAATGAGTATTCATTGTTCAATTTAATCACATCTATAATAAAATCTAAAAGTAATTTCGTTATAACTGTAACTGATTGATAGGTAACGTAGAAAAAATTAAAAGGGAATAAATATATCAACAATGTTAGTGAAATGTGGAGGAATATATGCAGACGTAGTCTAGACGAAATATTAGCTTCAAAAATATCGTATATTGTAACTATAAGTAGTAGTATACCTGCTAGGTACTTACCACAAAATACTATACTAATTATAATTTGAAAACTTCTACAAGAGTAATATATATTATGATGTTTTATTGTTGTGAATAAACCACATGTGTGTGACGCATTATATTATATAATATCATTATATTATATTGGTTAGGCGGTTGATAAAGTCCAAACGTATCAATGAATATAAATATTGGCAGTACATAACTGACTTATAGGTCCCTGCCTTATGGACAATTGGCCACTTCTTTATTAGATATTTTGGCACCATCACTATCTACTATATGGACTTCGGTATATTTGTCACGTTCACATAATCGAACTATTCATGAAATGGAACTTTGATCATAACGTGTTAGACGTTTTTAGATTCCTGTAATGGGCATACATTTTATCCGTTTCGTGTAATGAAAACCATAATTTCATACTTAGTTTATTTTTTATTAATTTACAGCCCGTTTGCGGTTAACTTTCATAGGTTCTAGTCAATACCGTTGGATATCATTCTATAATGTTAGATTTTGATCGATACCTATGTAGGTAGAAAAAAAACTTTAATAGATAATTAATATCATAATATTATGTTTATTTAAAATTAATTTAATATTTACGACATTGTCATTATTTTGAACTCGAAGTCTAAAAACTATAAAGTAATTAACATCCTAGTCCGGTTCTTTAAGGTTTAATATTATTATTATTATCAACATCTAAACTTACAAAGATACACTTAATTTAGTTGTTAACATAAATTAAATTACAAATTTTAACTCTATATAGGAGCGTAAATCTTACACTTTCTAATAATATATTTTGGATGTAATTTCTGCTGTCGAACGATGTCTAAAGTATAGTAAAATTATAATTTATAATAAACTTATTATTGTATTTTTTAATCGTATTACTCCAACCAACATAAATATAAGATTGTAGACTTAAATACCCATTAAATATTTATAGTTTAAACTTTATGAGCTTTTATTAATACCACAATTTCTAAAATAACTTTGACCAGGATTTTTTTAGTGTGATCTGAGATAAAAATCGCTTTTGAATTTTGCATAATTATACATTAAAATTTAAAAATAATAGTAATACATACAAATAATTTTGTTTCATTAACTCATGATACCATAACGAAATAGGAATTTATAAAAACAAACAAGCACACTTGAGCTCTTGTAAAAATGGCAATAAGTATACCTAAGGAATGATTCGTGCAACGTGTTAAACCCAGTATTTGTTTTTAAGTTTTTGCATTTATGCTGTAATGTACATGACAACTTTTAACAAGAGTAATTTTTTTCTTTCTTATATGAGAGTGCGGATTAAAGTTTTTGATAAATTGATACTATTTAAAAATATTTTATTAGAATACAGTAAAATTATTCTATACTATATAGTATATTTGTCAAGGTAATTTATACAACTCATATAATGTTATAGGTATATATATTGAAACATATAATTCCGCTAATAGGCAATAGTAAATAATATCCTTTTTCATTTACATGAATTATTAACAATTATTATACTAGAAATTCAACCATATCATAGAAAATTGTTAAATGTATCAACTCTATATGACTCAAACTTTTTTCAATTCGTTATTAATATTTGGTGTACGGTGTTCAAAATGTATCTTAATTTTTCCGTTGCCCGGAATAAAAATTCTGAATCTCAACAGTAAATTATGAGGTAGGCAATCTACCTGCGGTAGATCGCGGACCCCGTTCTGTATGTACGTAAGTGTACTCTAAAGTAATTCAACTCTTAAAGTATCAAAGTTATACCAAGTTTGTCGTTTTTACTTAATTCCACCTACTGTTGATTAAAATAATCGATTTATTTAATCCCATTAAACATAATTTATATTTAAAAAGTAAAGCAAATATATTTTTTTTTTCTTTTATTTTTATTACTATAATAGCTTAAAACCCCATGGCAACCATTTATAAACAAAAATTTCCATCTGAAATCTCAAAATTCCCGATTGAGCACCCCCCGGGGTTGGTCCTCTCCCTTTTTAAGTTAGCCTATGTTTTAAGTTGGACCAAAATACACACAGTGTAAAAATGTCATCAAGATCGGTCCAGTAGTTTTTACGTGAAAGAGTAACAAGGTCACAAACTTTCGCATTTATAATATTAATAGGATATATTGACAAGAAACAATAATGCAAATCAACAAACATGCCCGATTAACCAATTGCAACGAATATAATATAATACACTGTTGCGCCACTGTTGTTTTTTTACATCCAGATTTCCTACTTTTCCGGTAGATTTTCCTACAATTTTCTTTCGTAAAAACCTTCTCCTGGCAATTACGAACATCTTAAAAAAAAATAATTGGCCAAATTAGTCCAGGCGTTGTTGAGTTATGCGCTTACCAACACATTTTGCGATTCATTTTTATATTATAGATTATATTACTTATATAATGTTTATCCGTATATTTTTTTTTATAGATAATGCTACCACTGTTCATTGCGAGTTGTACATTCGAAGTTTTGGATCCATCAGCCCGGTTACCATGGTGAGTACTCATAAAACTCATAATGTATATACCTATCACCTATGTGATTAAATATATATAATATCATTGAGCTTAATAATATTATTGTGTATCAGTGCCGTTTTTATTCGGGGGGGGGGGACACTTAACTATTTTCTCTAGTTTTTGCAATGTTAGAATATTTAACTCTGACCCCTTTGTTCATAAAGTGTATCTACTCTTTTTATGAATATATTTTTGTGTTAACAACTATAGTACCTACATGTAATTTAACAATGTATTAACATTATTGTAAACCATGGGTTTATATATTCATTAATATAAGAATATTGATATATAATTATATATTTATATCAATATGTGTTTTAAGCAAAACAATTCATTTTTTAGTGGAATATTATTACAATTTACTAACAAGAAAACAATACTATTATAAGGCTATTGAAACATTGAAAGCTGGTCGTTTTTTGGTGCATTTAGACTGCGAATAAGCAGAAAAAAAAATATACATCCAGAAGTCCAATTTTTATTTTGAAAGAATATTAGAATTTCTTCGCTTTTTTCTGTTCTTTGTAGGAAGTGATATTTCCTTTTTAGTAATACTACAATAAAAGACAATTTTGAAAGAAAAAAGAAAATAATTTGGTACTATACTAATATTTTCTTTGCGTATGGCGCTATGTCCGGGAGTAGGCCCGAAGGCCTATTTCGGACGCCTATTTGGCAGAACTTCTAATTGGACACCCGTAGGTTTCTGCCATGCCCGGTTGGGGATGGTGGTCTCGAGGTCTAAACAGTTTCCTACCCAGATAGCGATGCCGCCAGTGGCAGGGGTTCGAATCGGCGACGGTGCGCGTTAAAACTGACGCTGTAGTCCGCTCGGCCACTCCGTGTCTCCGCCCCCCACTATACTAATTAAACGATACAACAAATCAAAAATCCATTTCCTACGTGACCTAGAAAAGAGATTATGGAATTCATATATGTTTTCAACATTAAAATAGGGCTTTTGGTACTGGGTGAATTTTTCTTCCCCTTTTTGGGACTTTCGTGGCACACGGAAGCTGAAAATTGTTGATCGCAAAATATAGTGACGTGTGACTGCGCGTATGTAATTCTCGGATTTCCAAAAATCTTAGCCGTAGTTTATCATCAATTACATAAAGCGTTCAGGAAACTCACTCACACTAATGATCAGTCACTATAGTACTATGCACACCCAGTCACACAGCACTTACGTGTATATAGAAAATTTGCTAGGTCCGACCTCTTAAAAATGGTTAGTTTTCAACAGCCTTAACTTTTAATTTTTATCAAACATAGCATATACTAAACAACAAGCCAAAACAAATTTAAAAAAAAATTCCGGGAGGAACATGCTCCAAGTGGCCCACTGACTACGCCACTGTAGTATATACTCAATGGTAATATGTACCTATATTAAAAATTTAAAACGATACTAGATATTTTAAAATGTACTAAACGATTAAACAAATACAATAATTTATTTAAATAGTAAAATAAAAATATGCAACACGAAATTCGATGTTAATATATTATTATGTAGAGTATAATATGAAGTACCTAATACATACTTATAACTACTAATTAATAAGTTTTAAAGTTAATAAATTAATAATTACACCATTGATCCATATTATGTCTTGTCTAATGGAATATCAGATATATGCGTAGACCTTGGATCATTGTCATACTTCTCATACCGTTATGGTTTACTAGCATAATGAGGAATTATTAATATAAACTGATGAAACCAACAATAGGGTTCACTGCTGCATTCAGTAAATTGAATAGGTACCTATATACCTATATATTAAGATTATATTATGATATTGTATAGGTTAATAGGTATATTAATATAATATCTATTTATAATATATTATAAACTTATTAAAATCATATCATGTGTAATAATTATATTATAATTTATATTACCTATTAGAATGATTATTTACACACCACTACAAATCTATTCATTTTTTTAATGATTTTTTTAGTATTATATTATGTGAAGTACAATTTGTATTTAAATATACATATTTAGTTACGCCACTTATTATTCAATCATGTATAAATCAAAAATGTCCTTTACATCAGTGGTTACCAAACTGTGAGGCGTGTCTGCCTTGGTCTATACAGACTTTAATATATTATTTATTAATTAAGTACCTATTATGTATTCTAATAAAATTTCATTTTAAAGTATTATATTTTATTTTCAACAATTAGGCTATTATAGTGATACATGTATTAACATTATCTTAAATGTTAGTGTTATCAACTAGTTGTGCTTAAATAATATGACATTTTGCATCGTTTCATATTTTTTTTTTTTAATTTTATTACGCAATTATAACATACGCAGTTTCAAATTGTTTTTTAAAACTTATAAGAGACCCGTGTTATGCAAATAAAAGACATATAATTTATGTATCAAAACTCAAAAGGCAATACTATACAATTTAAAATTATTTTATGTAAACAATTATAAGATGGCTTTTCAATAATAAATACCTCTTATTATGATTTTATGATAAATTATTAAAATTTAATAAGAATTTACAGAAAAAAGATTTAAAAGTTAGAACTTATCTACTACATAGTTGACCGTTTTCTTGGAATAATATAACCGATTACACTTTATTTAATAAGCTGTTTGAAACTTATTTGAAGTCAAAATGAATAGAATAATAATGACTAATATTTTATTGAGCTATTGTTTTCCAAATATGATATTATTATCAACTTGCAAGTGTAAAATATAATAATTTTACATATTTTATTCAGTAAATTACGATTATATTGCAATGCATATGACATGGTTACATATTTAGATGGGTAGATTAAAATAAAACAATTTCTACCTTAAATAAACGTTTAAGTAAATACAAAATAGGTCATACAAAGTGTCAAGCAAATTCGTATGACAAAATTGTAAACAAATTCCATGAACTATGTAACAGTAAAAATGTGAAAGCTTGTGAAATTTTAATTACCTAAATGATTTAATACAATAGTGTTTTTAAGTTGGTCTTGGACATTGTTCAAAAGAGATTAAAATGAAACATAATATCAGTATATATTACAGGCATATAGATAATATGTTGGCACTGTAATGTAAAGTAGTTATAATAGTTGCGAATAATATAATACGTTCAAAATTATAGAATGAGGTAGATATACCGTTTTGTACTTAAAAATATATTCAAGTATTCATCGGTTAGGTACAGTAGTGAATTTAGGAGGTGTGCTTGGTAGCTGAAGCACTCACCGTTTTCCTCATATTGAATTTTTTTTTTATTATTATAAATTAGTACCTAATTACTTAGATACCATGCATCACGTAGAAGTTGTGAGAACTGTGCCAAGGGGGTGGGAAATGGGGAAAATGCTCTAGGGTGGCAAAAATTTGTAATATTTTAAAGTGCAGCAAATATTTAAATATGTATGTGTAATAGGGATGCCAAATATTATTGCCCTGGAGTGCCAATGAAAGTTAGCACGGCACTGGAAGTTGTGGAACTAAACATATTGATTGTAGACTAATATCAAAAAATAGGTTAAATTTGTTTTTACCCCGAAGTAGTTCATGATAAGTACCTAAGGAGCTTTATTATCAACGTATAGCATTCACTATACAATTCCTAGATCCCCCACTGATTAGGTTCGATATACAAGATAAACTCATCGAGTATGTTTGTAAAGGACATTTTTAATATTTGTATACTACGCGCTTATTAGACTTATAAATTGTTAACCTCATAATCTAAGTAAGTTATAATATTAAAGTCATCTAAAAACAGAGTTGTATGCTTGAAATTCATAAGACCTACTGGGTCCCTACATCTAATAATATATTATAAATTTATTTTAAGTATTCAATTTGCATAATTATTAAGGTGTTGAGTTAAAATATTCACATTCTAATATGCTATCAACGGAAGAATGCCTTTTCACTCACCCACCCAGTACCCATCCCAGTACTCATATTTATTGTAAAAAAATTATTTTATAGATCATGTAAGAAATAAAACATTAATGTAAACATTTTAGCTTTAACCGGATGTATCATTTAATGGCTGATGGCTCTATCTCATTCACAAAAACAATAACTAAAATATCCTTTAAAATGGTTTGTTAAAATAATTGTTATAGTCTTTACGTTTATCTCTATATAATATATATATATCAATGAGCACTGATGAAACGAAAACATTTTAGCAAGCTCAGTTTAACCATGGAAAAAAATGTTGGACCAAGAGTAATTTCCATGTCATTAAAGTGCTCTACTTTGATCGTCTACGGATTTACTGAATACGTCCATAAAATATCCTCTTATTGTAAAAACGCATAGCATCCCGGATATAACCATTTTCAGCTTCACTGAGCATCACATCGCTTCTATTATTTTTTATTAATTAAGCCCCAAAATCCATGTACTTGACTTATCCATAATTTTTACAAGACCATTCGTCACCTATTTAATCTATTAGGCTTTCATTCTTTCTTCAAAGATACATACACAATATTTATGAGATATTTTTATTCGATAACAATAATTATTGTTCCAAATAAAATAGTCTGAATATGATAGAATCTATTTTATTAATTTGTATTAATTGTTCTTTGAAAAGAACATGTTTGTTACTATACAAATATTATTAAATGATTGGTAGGTATCCACTCTTATATTCAAATTCAAAGACTACTCACATAATATTATAATAATTCATAGTATAATTAGTACTATAATAATTAATAAATCACAATTATAGCAATTTAGATATACCTATTGTATTATTATTATTTTTACCCTAATTTAATCATAATAGTTAGTCGTATTGTTTTTTAATGTCACAACATTACAGTATACATTCATTTTAAAATATTCTTTGATTATTATTTACTTATTTTTCACTATGGTTTAACGAATAATTCGTACTCAATCATTAATAAACCCTTAATGTATAGTCTAATGTGCTATAAGTAAGTTATTTAAT